AGAGAGAGAGAGAGAGAGAGAGAGAGAGAGAGAGAGAGAGAGAGAGAGAGGAGGAAGAAGAAGCAGAAGGAGAGAAAAGAACAAAGAAAGGAAGGTCATTTTATCAGTTTTGGGGTGGGATATTGATTATTTATGAGGAGTGAGCTACTTTTAACCTATCACAGGCCAGATTGCTCTTATGGGCCCAGTCCTGCAGACACAGGTTTCAACTTTCCTGGACCACTGTGGCGTTGGGGGGGAGGGAAACCAGAGATAAGGGCATGAAGTCATTTTAGGAGCCAAGATGTATCAGGAGAAAGCAGCCTGTGAGGCGGCGTCACAGCATACTTTAAGATGATCAATTCCCTAACAACAATACCACCAGGAAAGAACTTCAGGGAAAGTATTAATCGAGTTCACACCGACATTTCATTGCCAACTTCTCAGAATCAAGGGATTTAAATAACTAGAATGTTCAATAAAAACCCAGGAAGAGTTGTCTTACAATTAGGACTGGAATAGCTCCATTATTCAGGATCATCCAAGCAATGCTGCAAGGTTTAAAAACACTATTCAGAGAAACAAAGTTGAATAAGACCTGTCTACCAAAATAAAACTGAAAACACTCTTAGAAGTTAACGAAACCCAGGTGTGAGAGTGTTATCTTCACAATTCAGCATTCACTCAAGTCTGTTAGACACAGGAAGAAGGAGGAAAACAAGACTCCTAAAATAGATGTTTAAAAAAAGTCAATAGAAACAGAAGTCCTTTGCAAAGATGGTGAAAATGATATGAGAATAGTTATATTATATTATACCATATACTAGAGGTGGATAATGCAAAGCTTTGGGCTGAAGTTCTAAAATATACAAATAGAAACGCTTTATGACCAAAGGTTGAAATCCTGAAAGGTCAAATTTTCTAAGGTTTAAAATCGCAAAGGATAAAATGCTCAAAAATATAATTCTGGAACAAATTTAAAATCATTTTACAGACATTTATTTATATTTTTAAAGGATTTATAGGTTAAAAAAATCACAGAACAACTCATAGGCCAGTTTATAGAGTGTAATAGAAAATAATTTACATACACTTTTGCAAGCAGTCAGGTATTCTGAAACACTTACGGTCACAAAGAAATGGTTCAGATATCAAGTTGTAGAAATGCGTGCAACTGTGGTTTAAAGCTGAGTGCGCCTAGCTTTCTAGCTTCAGACACGGGAAATCATGTGACAGGCAACCTAAGTCTTCTTAGAAGACTTGGTCCAAACATGCAGGGGGGTCATCCCTGGGTGTGCGATCACCCGAAGAGCTGACATCAGGGTCACTTTGCTACTTCCCAAAGGAAGATTTATAAAAAGGAGATGTCTTTCCTTTCTGAGGATGCTTCCACATTTTTCTATGCATCACGTTACACACAAAGCCAAAGCAGGTAAAGGTAATGAGACACCCCAAAAACCTTCACAGAACTTATGTCTTCTCTTGAAATGGGCCTCCTCTGACTGCACGACTTTTCATGACATGATTCACAAACCGCCTCCTCAGGCAACAACCCAGACAGCCCCAAGTAAGGCTCCACCAGGACTCGGGATATTTGATTTGCCTCAAGTAATGCAAACAGCTTGGGCACAACCAAAATGCAAGAATCCTTTGCCCGAATTTGGCTTTCTGCCTCTTTTGTGCAATCTTTTTCTCCCCACACTGTGTAATGAGGTGTTTGGAATTTCAGCTTTCAAAAATTCAACATTTGGGATTTTAAATTTGGGCAATTGCATTTTTTAAAGAAATTTCCAACTTTGAGAATTTTTATCTTCAACTTTATAGTATCTTAAACTTTTGAGCATGGAATTTTATATTGTGTATTTCTTGATTATCATTGACATCATGACCAAAGGGAATTCTAGTTTCAGCACTGAGGTAATTTTTAAGCCTTTTCATCTTTTATATTTTGCTGATCACTTTTCCCTTTTCATCCATTAATTGAGGGTCATATTACAATTTCCAAAAGTGCGGCTGAATTTGTCT